GTTGTCGTATTTAGTTTTATAGTTTCAACGTCTTCGCTTAACAGTACCAGATCATCAGCATAGCCCAGCACGGATGTTGTCCCGCCCAGATCCAACCCTTTCTCGGTTCGCATTACCTCCCTAATGGCATGTTCTAATGCCAAATTGAACAGGACAGGCGAAAGAGAATCCCCCTGTTTTAAGCCCGAACGAACCTCAAATTTTTCGGACAAATTATTACCGATTCTAACTTTATTGAGTGTCTCCGTCAAGCACATCCTGACTAGATTTATTAGTTTTTTTGGAATCCCCTGCTCGATTAGAATATTATACAGTTTCTGGCGGTCAATAGAATCGTAAGCCTTTTTAAAATCTATATACAGCTGGTGAACAATACCGTTATACTCCAATTTTTTCTCTAATATTTGCCGTAAAGAAAATATTTGATCAGTAGTCGAACGATTCCGTCTAAATCCGCATTGGTAGTCTCCGATAATTTCCTCGGCGTATTCCGTGATTCGACTGGTTAAGATTAAAGTGAATATTTTATAACATACCGGAAGGAGTGAAATTCCTGGATAGTTATTACAATCCGTCCTCGGACCCTTTTTGTGAATCGGAATAAGAATAGATTCTTTCCATTCTTCAGGTAATTTCTCGTTCACCCAGATCTTTTTAACCAACCGATGTATTTTAGAAACTCCAGCTTCTCCGCATGCCTTAATTAGTTCAGTAGGAATATTATCGATTCCCGCTGCTTTATATGATTTTAATTTTCCGATAGCTACTTTAACTTCCTCTTTACTTGGTCCTTCTATTAACGGTTCAGCACTCTGGTACTCAGAAGGAGGACACAGATCACAATTTCCCGTATTTAAAATATTGTCAAAGTGGTCCTTAAACTTATTCAATATGTCAACCGGATCGGTCAGAATATTGTTATTATCATCCCTAATTCCAGACGTTACGGGCCCTACATATTTACGTGATCTGCAGAGTTTTGTATTTTTAATTATTTTATTTGAAAAACTGTCCTAGTAGAATAGAAGAAAACATGAACAGGAAGCAAAACATCTATTGCTCAATTTCCCAATTACTATCACTATTATAATGAAGATATGTCATAAAATGCTTTTGTTGTGATAATCATTATGCACTCCTTTTTTTATTGATTTTTTTAAATATCATCGACAACTCCTTATTGTATTCGATGTTGTTGTACGCCTGAGTACCAGTATATAGTGCTCTAAATATAGTAACATTTTATCTTCTACTAGGTTGCTACCCGCGAAAAAAAAATCGTTGAGTTCTTATCATTCATTCTGGTAATAAATGGGGAGAATCAAAGTTACCATCATAGTTATATTATAAAATCGTTGGAGAGTGAGAAAAAAAACGTTACCTTCATTCTAATTTTCTTCTCTTTCTTCTCCCTTCTCTTTTTCTTTCTAATTTTTCTCACATCATCTATTTTACTTCTATTTCCTGTTTACTTTTCTGTGTTAGATTTTATAGCTTCCGTTATATTTATTGGAGAATTTTTTTTTTCCTTTGCATCTTTAACACCCTCTCCATTTCCTCAACCATTTCCTCTCCATCTCTGACTATCTTGGACTACTTTTCCTCAGTCACCTGTATGCAGCTCTATTGCATCTTTGTTGATTCGATCTATCTACATTTTGGTCTTTTGCCTACTATTGAGGCATTTATTGTTGTATGAAAACTTCCTGATGGATTGCTCCAAGCTACATGTTTCGCCCACCTTAAGCTCCTTGCCAACATAATATGTGATATTGATTGACCAGTTTCTGTAATCAGCTCTTTATTAGTCTTTCTTCTTTGTATGTTAGTACTCTGATCCCAGATTGCTCCGGTTATCGTACGAAGGATTTTTCGCTTAAATCTTCCAATACTTCTTTCTAGGGTGAATGAGATGCAGAATTACTTTGTTATTTATCACAGAGACAGATACAAGGTAACAGTATATATTGCTTAGTGGTGTACACAATTGACAATGAGAGTGGTCTGACACTTCTAAACAAAGAAAGATACTCTAAGATAGGTTATACACACCTTGAGATGAAACTAATAACATTACATATTTGCCGTAGAATAACAAAACATTACAAAATTAACATAAATGAAGTAACTAAATACAAATAACTATTCTAATATTATAAAATTATAGTATATTTAGATATCAATCTAAAGTCCGTGATATCACCTCATACAGCCACACTGGTTAGTATCCAGGTCTTGCAGTCTCATATCAAAACTGGTTTATCATTGCATTTAACACCCTTAATTTTATATTTCATTAGATTTTTCGATATTCCAATATCTTTGAAAGAGGGAAGAAAGTTCTCTTTGAGCTTGTTATATACGCTGGTCTATTTTCGACTGCTGGTCATTCATTGATCTTATTGTCGATCTAAGGTATTTGGATTTTCTACTCTCGTGACCGATTTCGCAGATCGCCCTTATACGCAGATGTTACAGCAAAGCAATTTTCGGCTTATAATCCTATAATTTATTTTATCTTCATTTACCTGTAGACCAATAGCTCTGTTTTTCTTATCACAGTCTTAGACAATTTTTCAATATCCTCTTCGTTTCTTCCAAGAACAGTTATATCATCTACATATCCATCGATTCCGACGCCCATCCTTTTCCAGCACTAGCTTGAACATCAATAAGATTCCATCACTCTGCAGTAAGCCAGTTCGAACTTTGAAGGCTGTAGGCAATTCTCCTTGTTTTACACGCTTTAGTCAATATCACCAACTTCCTGAAAACTCCCACTTCAATCATGATTTTCCAAAGACAGTTTCTATCCATAGAATCATAGGGTGCTTCGAAATCGAAAATAGGGCGTGAACATCTTGAGCTACTTCCCATCGTTTTTCAGGTACTGCTTTTATGATGAAAATCTGGCCTATCGTGCTCTTTCCTCTTCTGAATCCAGATTGGTGGACCCCTATTACATTTTCATGATAGGGATTTATCCGGTTGAGTACGATATTGGTCATTATCTTGTAGAGAACCGCAAAGAGTATCATGCCTCTGTAATTACTGGGTTCATATATGAAGCCTTTCTTTAGGACAAGACAGGTTAAGCACGTATTTCATGCTCCTAGTATCCTTTCCTCCTATATTTTCTGGATTAGTTGTAGTAACTTGGCTCTTAAGTTTTCTCCTTCTATCATTATATATATATATATATATATATATATATATATATATATATAATATATTGTAAAATTATATATCATTTTCGATTTAAAATTAATATTCATTGACTAAAAAGTTCCTTTAGTTTTTATAATACAGATTATAAAAACTAAAGGAACTTTTTAGTCAATGAATATTAATTTTAAATCGAAAATGATATATAATTTTACAATATATTATATATATATATATATATATATATATATATATATATATATATATATATATATATATATATAATATATATATATATATATATATATATATATATAATGATAGAAGGAGAAAACTTAAGAGCCAAGTTACTACAACTAATCCAGAAAATATAGGAGGAAAGGATACTAGGAGCATGAAATACGTGCTTAACCTGTCTTGTCCTAAAGAAAGGCTTCATATATGAACCCAATAATTACAGAGGCATGATACTCTTTGCGGTTCTCTACAAGATAATGACCAATATCGTACTCAACCGGATAAATCCCTATCGGGTCCACCAATCTGGATTCAGAAGAGGAAAGAGCACGATAGGCCAGATTTTCATCATAAAAGCAGTACCTGAAAAACGATGGGAAGTAGCTCAAGATGTTCACGCCCTATTTTCGATTTCGAAGCACCCTATGATTCTATGGATAGAAACTGTCTTTGGAAAATCATGATTGAAGTGGGAGTTTTCAGGAAGTTGGTGATATTGACTAAAGCGTGTAAAAATGAGAAGGGAGTTTCATGGCGCAAATTGCCCCGTCAAAATGTTACAGAGAGGCACTGGGTTCTGATTATTTGAAGGGGGTACATTTCGACGAAAATATGAATTCAGAATGAAAAGTTTCAAACCAGAAGACAAGTGGAATCATGGAACAGACAGGGACAGTAAGGGTATTTGTAGTCTAGTTTGGCTTGCACTGTTTTTAAGAAGAGGAGAACAATAAAATATCTTGAACGGAGAGGAGAGGAGAGTAGATTCATGAGCCATCGAACTTACTGGAAGGGGAGGATGAGCATCCCTGATTTATTTACTCTTTGATATCCGCTAATTCGACTTATATAATAAATATATAATATATGATAATAAATATACGCATATGTACACATAGAAAAAATTTAAAACGAATGTCAACTCTTAATCTCAATTTGGAGGGACTGCAGATGTGTGCTAAACTTAAAAACCGTGAGAAAACGCAAACAACCGCCTTAACATGGAGATAGCAGAACCGCCTAAACTTTTTTGGAATTGTTATCTATAAAATGAACCCCACTCTCCCTCAATCCAACCCAACCTGCTATATAGACTTTCTACTTTTACGTAATTAACAAGAGGATTTCGACAACACTAAAGTTGAATTTTCGAGGGTGCAAGTCTTCTTACAACCTAGTGATATTTCAACATGATTATTTAATACCCAGGTGATATTTCCCAGACAATTATTATATCTTGTATTATTTTAGTATATTATTATATCTTGTATTTTTTTTAACCACTAAATTGTAAATATTGTTCTATATTTCCAATTTCCCTAGAAATTCTTAGATTAGTTTCTAAGAACTGCCATGAAATACTGAAATTTAAATCGGTAACTGTATGGTTACCGATCCCATATTGGTTTTTCCTCTATTTTTCACAAATTAACAGTACAACTCAACAGTATCACTAAAATCTACACAGTGCTTTGTCTACAGTGACTTTATAAGTCATCACTTTAAGTTATCACTTATAATAAAATAGTCACTGTTGTCAATCACGACCGCAGCACTATCTATTGTAGAAAAATAAAATTATTTCTTAAACTAGGTGGGTAGGTTACTGTTATTGTAGGTTATTGCTTTTGACATCTGTGGAATTTGAATAGCTTAAATGGCATCTTACCTTGCAGATTCTGATAGTGAAGACGAACTGCCACCAGGATGGGAAGAAAGAACAACATCTGACGGTTGTGTATACTATGTAAAGTAGGTTTGTTATTAATTATTTTGTTCTTTTCCCGCACTGTCAAAATTCACCAACACATATATTAAATTGTTTTTATAAGGGAATTTGTTTTGTTAAAGTCATAATACTAAAGAGACTCAATGGAATCATCCTCGGACTGGACAGAGAAAACGTGTGTCTGGCGGTAAGTGAAATTGTCTATAATGTTAAATGTCTCTTTTGATGAAAATTTGTTCGTAGATACGAAACAGTTCAATTTCCTAATGTTGATGCTGTATAATAATTTATATAACCATTTTCTATTACAATCGAAAACTATATTTTTAATTGTCTGCATAGTCTTGGTATATAGTATATGTTTAACTGTTATTAGTGTAACCTATAAATCTTGGCTACAATAATTGTGTTGTAAAGCAGGAAAGGTTTGTGTTGTAAAGAAGACAGAAAAATTCTGTCAAGGTTTCAAAAAAAAAATTTTTTTTTACTTCTCAACCTCCTCCTATCTTAAACTCAGAGCTGAAAGCACTGTTCATGATAATTTTCAACATGATAAATATTTTAAATAATGAAATATGGTGCATGCTTATGGGATTTTTTAATTTAGAAAAAAATATTTAATTTTAATCATCTGAAATGTCCTATTTTTCCTCATGATTTTTCAAATTTAATGTGTAATACAATATAAAATAATACAATTTAATGTATGGGTTTAAATTTGTTCCTCAATACTATCACTACATATTTTTTTCTGTTTTATAATAAAGCTAGTTAAATCACGAAATGACTAAAAAAATGTACACATCTGGTTAAAACTTTGATTAAACTCCTAAACCCATCGTTAATTTCATCGAAACTTCAATCAAATGAAATTAGACAGTGATTTATGGTAAGTTTAGTGATAACCTGGTAGATCCTAGCTGAAGGTTAATACTCCTGGAAACTTACAAAACACATGAAAAATATATAAGGAAATAAATATTTACTGAATTGTCGAATTTCAAAAAAGAAATAATTGTAGATAGAAAGTTAACTGAATATAAATATGGAAAGTAAATTGAGAAACAACACACTTACATCCAGCAGATCCATCAATCCCAAAAGTGGATAGAACCACTGAATTAGTATTGATTCAATTGGTTAATTAAGAAACACACTAAACTTTATTAACTGTTTCTTTCAATGAGTTTAGGAGTCTGATGGATATTCGATGTCAACACTGACTTCAGAAACTTGCCCTATCCTCAATATTAAGCAATTCTTTCTTATGATGTATAATTTGTATTCGCTAATTTCTCATCTCTCTGTGTAAATATTGAAATTAATACTTAATAAGCTTCAAACCTATATTCAGATGTTAAGTTTAGACATTAGTAAAAATATAAGTTGATACAGCTATATAGAATCATTCTTTTACCATAGCAATCTCTTTACTGAACTCCGAATATTTCGTTATGCACAGTTACTCATAGGCCTATTATTATTTTATTTTTTATTTTTCAACATTTATCATTTATCCTAATATCTCGTAATAGCTATATGGCGACTAACTTATTTTAATGTGAAGCAGTTTTAAAAAGTGTTTTGGCATTTCAATTAATCTCCATACCTTCATCATGTATTTTATTAATAATACATACTCATTAAAGTTTCTGGAAATACCTGAAATCTGGCTGCAAAAAATGTTTATCAATTAAGTAGAGACATAGTTGCTCTATTGACCATCCCACTAGAATAGATTTTAATTATTTGTAAATTCTCTCTTTTCTTACCTTATTTGGTATTCGAGAGGTGTTAAACTAAATAACATTCCATTTAAATACATAAGAAATACTGTGAATTATCATCTAAAAAATTTAAAGTTTTATGAATCCTGTTATCAGTGGATTTACAAATAGAAAAATTATTTTTAAATTGTTTATTATTAAATTCAACTTTTCGTAGTTCATTAGATTTTGTTATTTTCCTTGATAATTTTAGAAATTTTAAATTAACTTTTTACAAATACTTTTTTTTTTATAGATCTTCCTTATGGTTGGGAAAGGATAGTAGATGAAAATGGAAAAGTAATGTTTGCTGACCATAAAAGCAAAACTGTTACCTATAGTGATCCTAGATTAGCCTTTGCAACAGAAGAAAAAGAATTCCCAATGGACATTAGACAAAAATTTGATGCATCTAGCAATGCTCTTGATGTTTTACATGGACGAGATTTGAGTGGAAAAATAGCTATCATCACTGGTTGCAATTGTGGTATCGGTAAGTATTAATTCGAATGATTAATGGATAAATTCGCGATCCTCAGGTTACTGGTCTAATATTCTTTTAATTCAGCCAAGTAGCGAGATCCAACTGGCAGATTCACATTTTTTGATATAAATGTTATGTATATTCAAAGAAATGCTTTTAAAGTTTTCATTAAATAATGTCAGTTTTTTTATCATGGGCTCTCGGACTATTACATTTTACCAGAGATGGACAAAATCTATCCTGAATACTGAGTTCCAAATATTTTACTCAAATACTAACCTTTTTTGGGTACCAAAGAATTTAATTACTATTTCAGTTGATATCAAACGATCAACTGAAGTAGTGAATGAATTCAAAACAATGATTCAATTTGAGTAAAATACTTGGTACTCGGTACTCAGAGTAGCATTTGCCCACCATTGTATTGAACTAGTGGTTGTTCACTCTCAATTCAGTAAGTTTCACACTGTAACACAAATGCCATTTGGAAACTACCAATACATTTTTTTTATCTTTGGAATAATTATGTTCTGGAGTATGTTGTGTCAAGTAACATACTACTTGATTTTACCTCTTGATTCTGTTATCGTCCTTAGTTATTTGTTTGTACACATTCCCTTCTACAGAGGAATAAAGTTTTAAAAATATTAGTGGTCTAGCTACTTAGTCGCTCAAGTAGCGTGTTTATTATCATAAAGCCAATAGATACAAAATTCAATATTCATATAAATGTTACAACACATAGACAATGGAAAATACTGTCTAGCTACTTGTATGCCATTGTAAATTTATATTAACTGTGAGATCAGAATAGCTTAAGATGACCGAGAATCAAATATGAATGAATAAATTAATTTTTATTGAGTATTTTATACAATTAATAATAAATACAAAACAATCATAATTCAATAAAAATATTTATGGCTTGGTTTTGTGGAACCGTTTGCTGGAGGTTGGCCATAGCCAGGAATTAATATTAATAATAAACGAAAACCTGCAATTCAATATAGCATTATAGTTCGTAATATCATGATTATACAGAATTCCATAAAATACATAAATATACACAACAGCTATTTAAATTTATTTTTCTTGCCTACATAGCTTATAAATATAAAAATACATTACCTTAAAAACATAACCCTATAATATATAAATATAAATACAAATATACAATACAATACAACTACCACTTTATAACATGAAACACATAATACAATAACATGTAACCCTATAATATATCAATAAATAATAAATCTCAAAAGAAAATCTGGAATTAACTTGTTTTGCAATCCATTAATATGATAACAACACTATTTATGAATTACCAGTCTCAATATTTACACCTAACCGAGGGCTGAGCTGTGAGATGGTGTGGATGATGTGCTGATATTTTCTTGTCGGTCATCTTCACCTAAAAATTATCAGCTAAAAACATATTTTTCTGGCATCTATATTAATAATTAGGTACAAGTGGTAATGTTTTATAAGTTATTATTATCCAGCTTAACAAATATTTCGATATAAGAATGGTATTCACTCAGTTCAAATTAAATAACTCTTTTTATCTAGCCTATTATATTTATTTAAATTATTTTTTTTTTTTTTAGGTTTTGAAACAGCTCGAAGCTTGGCTCTTCATGGTTGTCAAGTTGTAATGGCTTGCCGATCCATCGAATCTGCAACAGAGGCAGCGAAAAAAATTCAGGCTGAAAAGGCTGATTGTAAATTGGATATAATGGAACTTTGTTTAGAAAATCTTAAATCTGTTAAAGAATTCGCTGAAAATTATAGTCTTAAATATGGGTAATTTTACAATGATACATTTTGAACTTAAAGTTAGAAATGTAAAGTGCTGTTCTGATTATTATTTTTAAATTTGACTATTTGGAGTAAGATGATTTTTTTATACAATCATTTTTTATGCCATACCCAGTCTTGTTCATAATTTATTAACAATAAAATGATATGTTAGCATATATTAATTTAATAAAGTTTGAATTCATTTAGTAAATAATAATCATAGGTCAGAATTTGAAAAATCCAATCAATCACCCTTGTGTCTCTAACTTTATTTTTTTTTTAAATATTGAAATTGTCTAAAAACGGCTGAGAAAATGTCTAGCTTGTCATTTTCAAGGTTCTCTAATTTTATTTAACATAGGTCTCAATGGTTTATTATTTTAATGTTGTTTAATTGATCCATATATGTGGTATTTTAGTTGCTAATTTTCTTTTTGTTGCTTTATCAATAAATTTCTCACTTTAATTAATTAATTTTTTTTCTTATTTTAGTTAGAGAATATTTCTCAATAATTTTATGTCTTAGAATCATTTAGAAATTCTGGCATTTTTCATTGTAAATATCCGGTGAAATAATTGAGAGCTTTTTAAATTTATCAAACTTTACTATGCAAATATTGTGATTATTCTTTCAAAACATCTTCCTCATCTTTCTCAATAAATTTATCAATAATATTTGTGTCCATATTTCTCTGTTTTTCTATTCATAAAATTATTAGTTTTTCCAGATATGCCATTTCTAATTCCATTATTATGACAAGCAGATGTATCCAGATGCTGTTAATGTTCTCATCAGAAATCATGCTGAAAGAGTCTATATTTAATTTTCTAGAATTAATATTATCATTGTACTCCAAACTGAGAAGATTCAATATATTACTAGAGTTATGAAATTAAATGAGCTTCGTAGAATCCAAAAGTTAAATTAATTAAAATAAAAAAGTCCATACACATTCCACATTTTTTCTATAATACTACTGGGTCGATTTTTTAAAGATTTGGTGCCAATGAAGAGGATAATCCTTATAACTTGACAATATCATGTGTCATTTTATTTCAGAATGGGAGTCGATTGTGTGTTTCTTATGCCCATAGTTATTTATGGCGATAGAGAAAAAATTGTTTTAGAATAATTATACCTGATCATTAAAAAACGAAAACCGAGAAACTTTATTTAAATTTCTTAATTTTTTTATATATAACTGTTTGAAAATAATAAACCATAGTACAATGATTTGCAGCTCTTTTAATTAATACTAAAAAAAAAAAAAAAATACTGCAAATTATTTCACAATGGTTTATTATTTCTCAACAATTATACCATCTAAAGTAACATTACCTTTCAAGGGACAAATCAAAATAAATAAATAGGTAATTCCAATTATTTGCCTTAACATTTTTTTTTTATAATTAGTTATTTCCTAAAAAAAAAAAAAAAAAATAGCATTACTTCAGTAATACATTCAAAAATCAAAATCCAAAACAAAGGATTTGCAGTAAAACGGAATCTAATTTTACCACCCCTTGTAACTTTTTTTCCAAGTTCTTTTCGTTGAATTGTATGTTGTATTGATAAATTTAAAGGGTGTAAAGAAAAATACTTTAGCCAAGTTTCATTGAAATCGGTATATTCGTTTAGGTGCTACAGTCTATAGCAACTCAGGTTTTTCGGCTGCCATTTTGAAAGGGGGTTAAATTTTTGAATTTTTATTACAATGGTTCATTGTTGAAAATAATAAACCAAAATCATGTTCATTTCATGTTTTTTACCTTAATTATCGTGGGCGGGGCCGAATGGGCTAACGCGTTGTGCACAGCACCTGATATATGATAAATTATACAAAAATAGTCATGAGTTCGCGTCCCGGTGCCAAGGTGTCTTTTAAATCCCCGCCCACACCCCCTGGCCCAGGAAAACCCCGTATAGCCTTAACGGCGAGGAAGGGGAGGACCCAAAAAAAAAATCTTCGTAACTAATCATTATTATATTTTTTGTTTAACTTGGTTTGAGACTTTTCTTTATTTTTTAATATTGAAGGAGAATCATTGTCAAATAAAAGGGCAATTTTGTTTCCTAATCCCAACTTCTTAATAAAGTGAGTTCCTGAGCCATGTTCTGTCGTTTTCTTTAATGTTGCAATGCTACTACTTGGAAATATGTATCTAATTCAAAATGTACGTTTACCTAAGCTAGTTAATACAATTTGAACTTCCCTAATTTTTATATTAATTTTGAGATTATTAAAAATTTAATGTCCATTATTAGGGCGTGTATCGAAAAATTCCTCTCTAAATAATTACATAAATTTACTCGATTATTTTATGAGCCAACGATCAACATATTTTTTTTTTATTTCCATTTAAATTCATTGGTTATCCAGTTTCATATGAATACACATTTCATTAATGGAAAAATTATATTTTGAATCATGTTTGATAATAATTCATATTTAATCACAAAAATATCATCAAACATCTTGCGAAAGAAAGGTTATAAGTAGTAATAACACTGAAATTAGTAAATAATAATTATAAAATTAGTAATTGTTGTCATGTTTAATTAGTGAGTCAAAAATCTTTATAGATTAATTGAATAGATTTTTATTGGTTATATGAACTTTTTTTTTCAGGAAACTTGATATTCTTATATTGAATGCTGGTGTCTTTGGGATTCCTTATAGACAAACTGTAGATGGTTATGAGACATTATTTCAAATTAACTATTTATCCCAAGTGTACCTCACTATATTATTGGAAGATGCTCTCACCAGAGCTGTTCCATCAAGGGTGGTATTTGTATCATCTGAATCACACAGGTAAGAGTATGTTTTGTTTTGTTATAAATGAAATTTCTTCATTCAATATCATGAGTGTTATTAGTGGTGATTATATACCAATGTTCCAAAATTACTACACTTTTATTTTGAAAGAGTTCTTGTTCTAATTTGTACTTTTTCCTGGAAGAACATTTTTTTTTAGACCTCTTATTATTAAGTTCTTATGAGTACATATACTAAAAAACTATATGTTCTCGCAAGAACTTAATAACAAAAGATGTAACAAAAAAAACATCTTTAATAAAAAATTTTCCATGAAGTTTTTGTCCAGGAGTTTTATAATAAATGTTTTATGTCCTGCCCATTTGTGGTTTCTTCACTATGCTGTTAGACTTGTTAATGAGCTATATATTTTTTCTTCCCTTCCTTGCCTTTTTGGCTATGATAATAATAATAATAATGCTTTATTTATTCTGGGACGAGTCCTTTTAGAATAATACATAGAGACAAAAATGTGGGCTAAGGAGCCTCAGAGATATATAAAGAAGAATATAGTTTGATTAAATAGTAAAAAAACAAAACAAAATAGATAAATGAAAAAAAAATAATAAGAGCAATTATAAGTTACTTTCTAATTTACATCAGTTAATAATAAAAAGTAAAAAATTGAAAATAAACATGAAGTAAAAAAAATAAAGAACGATCTAATAATTTATATACATATTTACAGTAGTAACTATTTATAATTTTATGATGACTGGATGGATAAGAAATGATTAAACAGTTGGGATTTAAAGGTAGGAATGGTTTTGGATTGACGGATGTGGGGAGGGATGGAGTTCCATAGGGAAGAGGATCGAATAATAAAAGATTTATCAAAAGCAGCGGTTCGGTGGGCCATTATATATAAATCTGAAGACTGGGAACGGGTATTGCGGGAGTGGACAGAGGATTTAAATTGAAGGAGCTCGGCGATATATGAAGGACGGCGGGAGTGAATTACTTGGATGAGGAAGGATGCCAGGAAATACTTACGGCGGTAGGAAGGATAAAGGACAAAGCAATTTATCAAACGTTTTAGTTTCGCCTCGAGATCCCCAGAGACGCCTCTATATGCCGTGCAGCAATAGTCGAAGTGGGGAAATATTAAGGAGGTGACCAGGAGTCAACGGATTCAAAAGGAAAAAGGTGTCGCAGGCTATTTAAGTGTTTTAGGGTGGAAAAGGTACGTCGGGAGATATTGGGCACATGGTTTTTCCAGGAAAGGGTTTGATCGAAGATTATTCCAAGATTTTTGATGGGATTATCATGTAGGAACAGGGTTGGAAAGTTAGGAACAGTTTTGAGGAGGTGATTGGAGTCTATTAGAATTGCCTTGGTCTTTTCCGCATTCAACTTCAGCTTGTTAGCTCCTGCCCAGTCATATATTCTATTAAAATCTTCTTGAAGCTTTCTTGTGGTGGCTAATAGGTCAAAAGGGGAGAAGGACAGATATATTTGGAAATCGTCAGCATAGATTTTGTATTGGGAGTGATGGATCAGAAGGGGAAGGTCATTAATGTAAATAGCAAACAGAGTAGGAGACAAGGAGGAACACCACAGGAGAGGGGAAGTGTCTTTGAAGGAGGTTGATCTGGGACGACTACATACTGGGATCGATCGGAAAGGAAGGATTTGAACCAACGCAGGACACTGTTCGATAAAGGAAGATTTTGCAATTTGGTAAGAAGGATGTTATGGTCGACTGTATCAAACGCTTTGGAAAAATCTAGAAGGATACAGATAGGATAGCTATACAGAGTTTTTCCCCAGCCAGGGGAAACGGCAGGAGATTAATGCTAGAGTTATAAAAGCTCCCGACACTGGGCCTCAAACTCATAATCTTTGTTCATCAGGTTACCAAGCAACTCGTGTTGGAACACATATTAGCCCACTCGGCCATCCTGCCCCTGATTTATATTTATGGGAACTGGAGTTGCAGGTATCTAGGCAGTCATGCTTTGTTTCTATTAGAAGTTGCTGAAACTAGGTCCCTAGACATTGAGATTACCATCTGACACTGCTCGACAAATGTATTCAGCTCATCTACTGTTGGAAAGGTCCTTCTGGAGGTGTGAGCTATTTCAAAGTTTCTTCATTTACTTGTATCAAGCAATCTCTATAGATGAGTTTAAATTCTGCAGGGTCCTCTAGTGTTAGAGTCTTGAACCCTTCAATGCTGTTGGCTACCTCAGGCAAGATTAGATTGCTGGAGATCACTTCTGGTTTTCTTAACTCTGTGACTACGCGAGGTCATTCACGAGTTTCTACAATACGTTGAATCGTGTAACCCACAAAGATGTCCAAAAAAAAAAATAGATGTTGTCACTCTGCAAGATCTTAGCTTTCAAAAATGCATTTTAACGTTTTTATTGAACTTTAAAAAAAAGGGATATATACCTTTCCGGACGCACCGTTATGACAATGCAAAATTAGAGCTGCAATCCCACAACACTTCGCTTTCTTGCTTATTTTCTTATTTCTGAAAAGCAAAATAACTGAAAATTATCAGAAAAATAACGGTAGGTGATCATAAAAATTAAATTATATTATTTCTAAAAAAAGGACACTGATTGTGGAATTCAAATTATATATTTCTTTGTATTTACAGATTTTTTTCTTACCTAAAAAAGTTCCATATTGAAACATAGTGTTATAAATTTTATTATTGCACTTACATTTATTTTGAGTTTCAAACACTTTTATACTATATGAAATATATATATATTGTTTTTAGGTGGATGAAAAAAATATAAGACACCTAAAGTATCATTTTAATTCTTTATATTTATTAATTTGTATTATTACATTTTAATTTTTGTATATTTTTACATTTATTTATTACATTATATATGTATATATATTGTTAAGTTATGTTTCCGTTAAAAAGTAAACAAACAGTTTCTGAGCCGAATTATATTTATTTTAAATTATTACAAATTATTTCTCAGGTTTGGTTGAGACAATAAACACACATTCCCCAATTATATAATATAAAAGCATACATTAATTTCTTATGAAATATTTATGAATTTCCATTCAGTTTTGTTCTATTGAATTTCCATTCTAATTGTCCATATTTATTTTGCACTCACTCTGGTCCGCAGTGAATCTTCCACTGTATTGATGCTGTAGGCTTTACTGTATTAAACTTCTACAATGTCTTCTTTTAATCTTCTATTTTCCTGTCTTCGTCTGGGCACTCACTACTTGTTGGTCACCTGTCACTCTCGATTAACTTAGCTGGTTACTTTCTCCCTCAACATATAGCGCTTCTTCCCCTTCCATCTATCTTTATCCGCCTCTTTGTCAGCAGACAACAAAGCTACTAAAGGACCAATTGGCTTATGAACTTCGAATTCCGGGGCTTTCCGATATAGGTGACTCTAATGATTTGAGGAAGAGACTCGTGAAAGCATTTACTAAAAACGTTCAACCACTCGACAAAATCATAGCTTCATTAAATTTGCAGGAAGAATTAGATATTTGTACAGAAAAATTTGCAGCACTGGCTGAACGTTTAGAGGAGCTCACGATAGGTGATGTTATGGAGTTTAGGCGTCTAGACACACAAGTGGGGCATCTTCATAGTCGCTTAGGACGGTTAATTGTTCCACCAGAGTTACAAGAGCTGTGGAAGCGGCAGGGTGATCGAGTTACATTTTTAATAGCCGATCTTTGGGAAAAGAAACCCATGATTACACTACCATCTCTAACCACAACAGATATTGTAACTACATCCCGAACTTCAGATCCGCCATTTAAAGTACAACCTGTTAGGGATATAAAAGCATATAAATGGGGTTTAAAGCTCTCAGGTGATTCATTGGGTCCTACTTTAAGTTCATTCTTAGAGGAAGTTGAAGAGCGAAGAATAGCTCGAGGGGTTAGCCAAGAAGAATTATTTCAAGTAGCAGGGGACCTTTTCACTCGGATCAGCATTAGTCTGGTTCCGAATGAATAGAAATCGGTGTTCCAATTGGAATGAAGCGGTTACTCGACTAAAGCAGGCATTCAGGGACCCTGATTACGACAGATTGTTGATGAACGAGATACTCTGTCGGAAGCAGGACATTAGTGAGTCACCAGCTGTATTTATAGCAAAAATTAGGTTGCTTATTATTATTATTATAAAAATTAGGCTGTCGACACCGATGACCGAGAGAGAACAAATGGCCATAATCGAAAGGAATTTAAGGCCTGAATACTTGACACTGTTGAGCATAACGTGGTACGCGGATCTCGATGAGCTGGAAGAGATACTTGGCAAGATTATCTTTGGGTCGAGTACTCACCACAAGATTTAGGGAACCTCCGTCCAGCGGTTGGTTAGAGCCTGATTTGGGATACTATCGAAATCAAGGCAGGAACTTTAGAGAAATCGCTCCTCTTAATATGGACGGGTCGCTAGAAATTACTTCAGATGTTGAGGTGGATGCTATTGAGCAACAGAAACGATCCAAGGTCTATAATGCGGTTTGCTGGAACTGTAATCAACAAGGACACCGTTTTCGAGATTGCAAGGAATCTCGACGTGTTTTCTGTAATGGTTGCGGTGAAAATGGTGTCAAAATATACGAGTGTGGGCAGTGCAGGAATCGAAGAACAAGTAAGGTCACAAAGACGGGAAACGGAGAAGCAGAGGGGAACTAAGTTTACCCCACATCTCTCTGCCATATGTGGGGTGTCCTTATTAAACCAATGAAGCTGCATTGGAGCAAGCTCAAATTAGCTGCATTTGAGGCATAGGCTGAGAGATATAAACTCATCTGGTTCTCAGGATCAACGACCGTATCTGCTTGTAAACATCATGGGCTTACTGGACTCAGGTGCTTCCCATATGATTTTGGGTAGACCTGGTTGGGAACTTATTAAAGGTCAGTTGCACATGCGACCGTCTAATGTTAGAAACATTGTGGTTCCAAACGGTGAAGGATGCTCCGTTTTAGGTGAAGTTACCATACCCTTTAAGTTAGAAAATAGAGTTAGGGTAATTACAACGTTAGTGGCTCCTGATCTAACTATTCCTTTAATTCTTGGAGTAGATTTTGGAAATCAATGGGGGTCGTCCCAGACTTAAGTAATGATATTGGGATGTTCAAAGATCCCACCAATACAGGTGATTTTCATTTAGCAAGTGCATTAGTTTCTGAGCAATCGCTCAGGGATTTTGAAAGGATGCAGGTTCAAGAAGTTCTTCGTAAGTATTTATATCGAGAAGGACCGAAGATTGGATGTGTGAAGAACTATACTCATAAAATAGATATTGGTGACACTTCTCTGTAAACTATTCATTTTGAATGTTCTGTTATTGTTTAGTACATAGCCTTACCCATTGACTTTGGAAATATAAATTTCAAAATTTTAAACGAATGTGCTCTATCTGCTACCACAGATAATTGTCCGTGCAAAATTACTGGACGTCGCAATAATACGCATGTTTTTCCAAAAGTTTGATCCTACCATTTGATTATGGTCATAGCAAATGCAGAAATTAATAAGAATGTTGTCCTTTGAAATTCGAATGGAAGTATTGTGTCTGAAAATATTAAATTAATTCTTAGAATTAAAATTCTTTTATTTAAAGAAGCTCCCGTTAATACTTCACTCTCATTTGTGTTCCATTAACTAATGCTTTTGCAGTATTTAAGTTAAGAATGAGTATAACTATAGAATTTACTCTTAAATTTAATTTAAGAGGTAACATTCCACTAACATTCAATGATATCATCTCTTCAAATAATAATCCCGATTACTTCATTAAATGTAAACTTTTCAATTTATTATAAACCAAAATAAAGGAAATCTACTTGCAAAAGAAAAAGTACTAAATATTTAAAATGATATATCTCTGCAACAAAAAGTCAGATTTCGATGATCTTTTTTTTTTTATTTTGTAGGGAATTCAAGAAATAAAACTGGCATTTTTATTTTTAAAAATATGTACTTTTTGAGCTATTCGCAAATAAAATAGTGAATTCATCATAAAAATGTATGCAGCTTGTTTTCGGGAAAGTATGTTATATACATAAATTATAAATTTTTCTAGGGGAAGACTTTAGCCAAGTTTCATTAAAATCGTTACAGCCTTATTGGCGCTACAGTCTAAAGCGAATTACGTTTTTTGGCCACCATTTCAAAAGGAAAGCCCTGATGATAATGAAACATATACAAGAACACTCCTAAATATTATTGCGACATTGAGTCAACATTTCATTTATTAGCTGTTTTGAACTAACTACCTTTTATATTTTTATTTACATATACTATTTCATATCTTTATTTATTGATAACACTAAAACTCATCAAAAGCTACTAACAAAAAAATAAGGAAGAACATCAGTTGATTAATAGAGGAGAAAAAAGGGCTGAACCGTTTTGTGTTTGCCTATTTATATAATGATGATGTTGATTTGATAGAATGTCAGTATTGTAAGATTCTTCTAATTCAATGTTTATAATACCTATGTTGAGATTGGATTCGGCATTAGAGATTCACGCTTGTGAAAAATATTGATAAAACAGTACTATCAATCACTCAACAATTAATGAAACTTAATGGGTAGAGAAAATCAATAGAAAGTGTACTGAAGAATTAGATCCTTCAAGAGTATGTTTTTTCGTAAGGTGGGCTCTAGCCTGTCTTAATCTCCTTATAAACTTCAAAAATAGTTTTGATGAATTAACAAATAGTAATAGAATAAATTAATTATCAATATGTTTATTATAGGAATTTTTTGTTGTAGGTTTTCAAATATTACTAGTGATAAAATAAAAGAAGAAGTTTTAAGTCCATCCAAAGAACAATATTGGAGTATGATGGCTTATAATAATTCTAAGCTCCTCCAAGTTGTATTTAGTGGCAAACTTTCAGAAAAATGGGCCAAAAAAGGAATAGCTGTATTTTCACTTCATCCTGGAAACTTGGTATCATCTAATTTATCTAGATATTGGTTGCCATACAGAATTCTCTTTGGACTTTTGAGACCATTTACCAAGTCATTAGTAAGATTTTTTTTTTTACTTTTTCTAGTTTCCCATTCTAAAGTTTTAGTGTTCCTCTAATATTTTAGTTTTTTATTGATTAACTGCAAATTATTATGAAACATTATAAATGGATTGTGAGAAATCTGGAAAATCTCATCTCCATGTATCCATTTAAACTTATAAATCTTATTATTATATCGATCATAAATATAATACTTCATTTTTTTTTTATTACAGCAACAAGCTGCAAGCACTACTGTATACTGTGCCACTGCACTTTCACTGGAATCGGTGACAGGGCTCTATTTTAATAACTGCTGTCGCACTGAACCAAGCAAAACAGCACTCGATCCATTACTAGCTGATAGGCTTTGGCTCCTCACTAAAGAGCTACTTATTAAAGCAGGATTCAATATTGAAATGCCTTCATAAACTGATTTGTTGTTACTTTTTTTTTTAAGTTTGTACATATTGTCTTTTTGTTTATATTGTAAGAAGTGCTTTTATACATTGAATAAAATGTTAAAATTAAATTTATGTCTTTGTGTTTTTATTATTTTTTCAACTTAATTCATAATAATTGTGAAATCAATTTTAGGATAAATAACTGGTTATGGTCCTAATATTCCTAGTGCATGAAGTGCATCATTCTGGTAAATATTACATTTTTATGGTTCATTCCTGTTCTGCTTAAAATTCTGTGATGTACTATAATAAATAGTAGTGGTGTCAGTGTGTCACTCAAGCCCTTTGTTCACAACAAATGGGCCACTACTCTTCCCGCTCATTCGAACTTGGCAAATATTATCTTCCATGGTATACCTAGTTAGTCCAATAAGTTTTTTAGGGATGCCCATTTCATTCATTGCACTGTAAAGTTCCTGTCTAATTACAGAATCGTGCACTGCCTTAAAGTCCACAGAGGGTGGCCAAATTCATACATCTTTTCACCCAGTGGTTTAAATGAAATAATACAGAAACATTCAAAGATCTCTGACTTGAATGATTCTATTCAGGATCCCTTGCTATTTCAATCCCAGTATCAACATTACAACAGCATATGTTTATATACCGTTGAATAGGAAATGATATTTTTGTGGTGGAACCCCGATTCATTCCATGTCTTTTTGTCCTGATCGAGAGGCCATTTACAAGAGATGTGACAAAATTTGTCATTTTAAGAAGGTTTTTTTTTTTATTGTCCTCACCTTTTAGGCTGTTGGGGGTTTCCCAGCCAGGAGTGAGGGTGGGGAATTAATGCCAGAGTCAAAACCCCCCTTGGCACAGGGACACAAACATGGTATTATTTTATCACATAATCTTCTATCGGTGCTGTGCACACGCCTTAGCCCACTCGACCACCCCGCTCCGTTTTAAGAAGGTATGTAACTACAGCTTTAGATCATGAGGAGGAAGGCCTACTTCTGCTTCCACAGACCTCGTAGAAACAGTTTTATCTGCGGCTTCTCCTCTCCAGGATTAGAAAGGCTATTGAAATCATAAAGGTGAATGGAAAACCTAGCCATGCCTTGATTGACACTGGGAACTCTCTCAGCTTCATCAACTGCAGTACGGTCCTTAAACACAAGTTAAATATTATTACAAAAGAAGGAAAAGAATCGAAATCCTCCTCTTCTATAATTAAGGGTAATTGTACTGCAAATCTCCAAATAAAGGACCACATCCATCACAGTTAAACTGTAAGGAAAAACCTACATTGACATAATCTTGGACCATTGACCATGGAGATTCTCAAAAATCATTCCTTTGTTGAGTTACGATTCAGGGAACCACTAAAGATCTGTAGTTTGGCAATCCCTACCATATCCCCTGTATCCTTGTTATCATTTCTCATAGAAGGATGGAAGCCAGTTGCCACCAAATCAAGTGAACACTGTTATTCTTTTGATGATTTAAAATTCATTCAAGCTGAAACAGATCCTATATTAGAAGAGGTTATTATTGATCCTAGTAAATTCCCTTGGAGAGCTCAAGGTCTCATACAGTGAGCAGCAACTATAAAAGGAGAATGGTGATCGACTATTCTCAAACCATAAACAGCTTTACTCTCCTGTATGCTTACCAGCTTCCACACATTGAAATCCTATCTTAGACATTCAGCGTCCCCGAGTAATGACATCATTTCTCCCTTATAAAAAATTATATTTATTTCTTAAGCTGTTATAATATGCAATGTTTGAATTTTATTTAATTTAAAATGTCTCTAATACAGTCGCTTGTTATTAATAAATAATTATTAAAAGGATAAAATTAATTATTTTAATATGTTTTATATTTTTTTTTAATCTTACTTTAAGAAGTGGCTAGCTTAAATAGTATGATAGTAATTATGGTAACATCAGAAGCTGCATACAATGAATAAAAATTGAAAGCTCTAGTTCAATAAATATGTTCAAATGACTATAATCCTTAATCTACATGTTAGAAATGGGTACAATTATTCTTATTGGTTAGGATGGATATAGTTTCTTATAATTAGGGATACAAAATTTCATTGAAATTTGTGAAGGATGTGATTCAAGTTGAACTTCAGCTGAATGTTTTGCAAGAAGAAGGAACAGTACCCCTACCTCTCCCCTTATTACTATACCTATCACTATCATTAGTGGGTTGGGGAGGAGGTATTAAACTAGGAGGATCAGGGGTGCCTCTCCTGCTTCCCAAGGTCAATGACATAAGAACCTACTCCCTGTCCTCCCAAGATATTTTATTGCCAAGAATAGCCGAATAACAAAACTCGGATAGGAAAGCTACATATTAAAGATGGAGAAACCTCAACCCGAATTCACATTGAAGTTGCTCAGCATAGAACCAGATGGAAAAAAAGTGTGAAAAACCGAAATTTGATGGAATGAATGCTGGTGTCAAAACTCTTGGAATCAGGAACAACAAAAAATTCCACCCACTTGATTTTTTCATGTTTTCATCTAAAAATATTTCTGCTTTGGATTGGTCTATTGTTTTTAATGAATAAATAGGTATCTTTTGTTGTTTTAATTAGGAATGTTTATATAGAGGACAATAACCCTTAATCCTTAATTCAATGAAATGATTCTAGATTCCAATGTTTACTTTCTATAGAATCAAAATGTTTATTCAGTATCATTAGTTCAGTGCCGTTTCTTGCAGCACATTTCTTAGTCTCCGGCTTTTATTTTAATCAATATTAAGTTTAAAAATGCCTCTTAGTGCTGAGGATGTTGCGCGTGGTGTGGCACTTATTGATGATGGACATTCCATTAGATATGCAGCCACTAGCGGATCCAGGATTTAATTTTGGGGGGGGCTTCAGCCCGGAAGCTTTTTTTCATATATATAACGATAATTACATTGGAAAAACAGAAATATACTAACTACCTATATGAAATGGTGTTTAAGTGATTCTTGAAGTCCTATTAAATGTAATTAAACGAGCAATAATACTTTAAGACATAATTTTTTAATATCTTTTACCATAAAACATGGTTACACTTTACCATTTTGGGGGAGGGGCTTCAGCCCGAAAGCCCCCCCCCCCGTAAATCCGCCTGTGTATGCAGCTAATGTCATCGGAGTTCCATATGAAACTTTACGAGACGCCGTCAGGCGTTTTCGGGAAACTGGTTCTTACAATAGAAGGCCCGGTTCTGGACGGCCTAGGGTAACAGAACCACGGGATGACCGGTTTTTGACTTTGAGAATTTTACGAAACCGGCACCTTACCGTTGTTCAAGCGATTCATCAGCTCGAAGAAGTTCGAGGCGTGCAAATTTCTGAACGTACCACTCGGAGAAGATTAAATGAGTATGGATTAATGGCTTTTCGTCCAGTAAGAGGACCAGAGTTGACCAGAACTCACACAGTAACACGGCTGGCTTTTACTCAAGAACACAGCCATTGGACTATGGACGAATGGAGTGCTGTACTTTTTACAGATGAGTCAAGATTCGCTTTTCGATCGCCAGACGGGCGTGAATGGTGTGGAGAAGAAGTAACGAAAGATATGCAGCCTGTAATTTTTCCCAGAGCCAACCTTTCCAACGTGGTTCCTTAATGGTGTGGGCTGGGATTTCAATGGAGCGCCGCATAGAAGTGGTTGTTGTTCGTGGAGGGTCTTTGACGGCCATTCGCTATGTAGATGAGATCTTGGAACCTCATGTGTTGCCTATCCTCAACGAAATCGGCGATCGTTCTATTCTAATGCACGCCCACATCTCGCCCGCATAGTGCAGACGTTCCTTCAACAGAACAATATTGAGGTTTTAGCCTGGCCAGCACGTTCTCCAGATTTGAACCCCATTGAGAATTTATGGAATAACCTCGGAAGACGAATAAGAGCGCGTGCAACACTTCCTGATACACTGCAGGACCTTGAAAGAGCTCTTCGTGAGGAATGGGCTATCCTCCAGCAAAGGGAATTTCCCGACTGGTGGAAAGTATACCGAGGCGTCTTCAAGAAGTAGTGAAGGCAAGAGGAGGAAACACGCGCTACTAAAAGATGATGTAATTAATTTCTTTTAGAATAATAATGGTTTCGTTTTTCAATTTTTTTTCCACTAATCTTTCTTATCCAATCACATTTTGATTATTAAAGGTAAAAAAGATTATAAAATTCCATAAATACTAAGTATTATCTACAAATGTATTATATACAAATACAACTTTTTTTACAAGTGGGTGGAATTTTTTGCCTGTCAGTGTATATCCAATAATAGATATAATATTGCTCAATAAATCTGTTTTACGATCAACTATATTGATATTGCTTCAATAATATTAAAAGAGCTTCAATAAAAATCTAAAAATTCTTATTTCAGCCAATTTGATTGATGTGATTATTATAGTTGCATTGTAACCCTCAGATGGCCAATATATTGACTAAACTCTATATTGGTTCTGTAATATTGATCTTGGAAGAGGCCCTAACATAAGAAGTTGAGTTACTGGCTGTCATAAATTTGCTCTTTGGATTGCTAGTAGTAGGTTTCATAGCCGGTGGTTTTCAAACAAAACCTTGTCAAAAACCTTTGTTTTCTTTGTTCATTATTGATGTTAATGAATTTTAATTTTCACAGTCATGTCTAAAACATCGGAAGACGATCACGAAACTAAGAGGATAAAGTTAGCTTCAAGTTCTAAATCTGAGGGAGTAATTACTGAAAAAATAAGTCCTTCAAAAGCTAACGTTATAAGAATTGCTGGTCAAAATTATATTGATACGGAAGGTGGTTTCCTTATAGAAGAACAAACTAAGCCAAAAGAAAAGGAAATAATCTTTGAAAATCAGAGTTTCACCGAAGAATATAAGTGTTTACAGTGTAGTAGAGAATTTCTTTCTTCTTTTTTACAAAAATCCTTCGACTACTTAGTGTGTGATGGCTGTAAAGATAGTAATGATAAACATTCTTTGATAACAAGGACAGATGCAAAAGCTCAATATTTACTAAAAGATTGTGATATAGATAAACGAGAGCCACCTCTTAAATTTATCCTCCGAAAGAATCCACATAATTCGAATTGGGGACAAATGAAACTATATCTTCATTTACAAGTTGAGGAACGTGCTATTGAAGTATGGGGCTCATTAGAAAAACTAGAAGAAGCTCACGAAGCCAGAGAAGAAAAAAGAATCAAAGCCAAAACTAAACGTTACAATAAGAACCTTAAAGCCCTTAGAATGGAAGTTAGAAGCTCGATATTCAAGAAAACTAGTGGTCCTAAACATGAGCATGAATTTGGCCCAGAAAATTACAATGAAGAGGAGGATATTTATTACAGAACTTGTTTGACCTGTAAGTTTGTTGAAAATTTTGAAAAAATGTAATTTTGGAAAAATTGGTATCCTACTGTAATTTTAAAATATAATTATATCAGTGTACACAATTGTAAATACTATTTAACTTTGTAGCTGTCTATAATTTTTTTAAAAGATTGAAAAATAGAGTTAGACAATCAATGGCAATAATAAATATGTTCTAATTTTATTAAATCAAATGAAAATTCACACAAACTTGTGTAAACATATATTTAAAAAAAACTTCTTTAGATATAAGTTTAATTTATTGATTTTATAACTAAAATAAGTATCTGGTATGATTATTTTAGTTATTATATAATTATTTAATGAAATTCTATACCTATAGATCCTCTAAGAAATAAAATATAGTGCTTAAATACTTTAAAAAAGTGTAAGTTTCTAATACTTATTTTCCTATTTCTTCCATTATATACGTATCCTAGGATATTATATATATTTATTTTCTAACTTAGGTACTTGACACTGGAGTTGTGAAAGGAGAGCAAAAGTTATATGTATATATACATATCTTATTTTTTATTTATATATATTCTGATTCTCTGGAAACCCATTCACATTCAATTGATTTTTCAAATAATCAGAAAACTACAAATCTCCGGGAATATTGGAGTTGATAATTAAAAGGATACTAAATTGTGTACAAGGCTCATTTCAAAATATATACTATATTTCATACTTATACAATAGTTATTAATTGAAAACTGAATTATGTTTCTACGTGGGGCCCCCAGGGAAATATTTATAAAGGTGATAGCTTACATCAACAGCTCTTAAAAAATTTAAATAAACAATGGTCCAATTTTTAGCAGAAGTGTCACATTTATTGTTGATTAGGAAGGTATAACAAAACTGATGTTTAATATAAGTAATTATTAACTGCTTCACAGTAAATTAGACAAAATCTGCTTCAAATCAAAGTGGAGTATGTCATTGTTAAAACCATTTTAAGAGAGAGGTCCTTTGAATTGATAAACTTAGCTAAGTTGTTTTTTAAAAAATCATGAATTATTTTCGATTTTTTATTTTATAAAATTTGATCAGTATCCATTTTTGCTTTCACTTACCTATGTATGAAATATATAGTAAAGGAATGTATTGCGATCTTTGACATTTCAACGGAAATACAAGTCTTGAGGTCCTCTGAGTCCAAATAACCAAGTCCCCAAAATGGTCTGTGTGTGTTAACATTCTAACTCAAAAATGTATCAGTCGTATGAAAGTTAAATTGCATATTTAAGGTTTTTATATACTAGGGATGTTACAGCAACTCTTTCGTCAAAATCAGCTAATCGGAAGTGGCACTTTATGTCATAGAGTAAACACATTTTTACGATTTTCTCGGAAACGACCACGGGCGGATCTACGGGGGGGGAGGGGGGAGGGCTTTCGGGCTGAAGTCCCCCTCCCCCCCAAAAAATGGAAAAATATAACCATGTTTTATGGGAAAAGAAAATTAAAAAATACCTCTTAAAGCATTATTGTTCGTGTAATTACATTTAAAAGTACTTAAGGAATAACTTAAACACCATTTCATAAAGGTAGTTAATTTCTTTCTGTTTTTCCAAAGTTATTATCTTCATTTTTATGAAAAAAAAAGGTTTCGGGCTGAAGCCCCCCCCAAAAATTAAATCCTGGATTCGGTAGTGGAAACGACTCTAACGATTTTGATTAAATTCATTGTCAGTCTAAAATTAAGCAGTTTTAAATAAAATATAGTTTTTATTCTGATTAATGTTTTCTGAAAGGGCTTAAATGGCTAATTTTCAAAATTAGCTTCCCGTAAAGTTTCTTCAATTTTTTTTATTTGAAACAATGGGCCATTTCACATTCATATCTAATATAAAGGATAGTTAAATTTGATAATTTTATTAATATTGAATTTGATAATTAACTAAAGAAGAAATGAGATATCGTATCGGAGAATAGTTGTAATTGAGGAACCAAAGGAATACGAGCGCACCCGAAAAATTAGAACACACTTCCATACGTAACATGAGCTTAATATAATAAATTTACATATGCGGTTTTCACAAATGCTATTGTTGGTATTATTTAATTGTATAGATTACAGCGATATAAATATTAAAATTTATATATAGAATAGAATAGAAAATAAACTTTATTCTAGAATGATGTCCCGTTAGAATAACAATAATGAACAGTTACAAAAGAAAAAATACATATCTGGCCAAAAACTAACTTAATAAAGATTCAAAGAATACACACAACAACTTTGACAATAGTATGTAAATAACTAAAAAATAAAATAAAATCTTGTATTCGAAAAAACTAAAAACAAAAGAGGGAAAAAAAGAATTACATGTATAGAAAGAAAAAGCAAAACCTCTAGAAAAGAAAAAATATCAAAAGTACTTTAATAAAAAGTATTGAGTTTTTATGTTAAAACATAAACAGCTACAACATACAAATATATACCTAATAAAGATATTTTAATGACAGAAGATGAGCAACGGGATTACAATATTGAATATTGAATTAGCATTAAAGCTAATTAAAAGAAAATAAATTATTTCTATATGTAATACAATACCCAATGATATCGTAAACCATAAACAAACCCGGAGATCAAGATAGGAAAGATATATATATATACAAATTGAGGAATGTAAAAAATTAAATCCATTTAAAATATACATAATCTTGTAGATAGAAACAAAATGGATAAAAACAACAAACAATCTCTTATGTTTTATGCATCACAGTTCTATGCCAAAAGTGATACTGAATCTTTCAAATTCATAAATAATAAATAAAAAATAAAATAAAATAATGGTGTATGAAAAGGAAAAAAATATCCTTGTTAAATAACACATAATTAACCAGCGTCTGATTGGATTATGAAGATGAATTGGAATAGGAAAATTTTTAATGTGGATAACGATGGTGCAAGGCGGATTTTAAGTGGGATAGAATTCCAAAAGGTGGTGTTGCGGACAATAAAGGAATTTTGAAATGAAGCAGATCTATGGAAAGGGGTATAAAGGTCAGAAGGACCAGATCTTGTGGAGCGAGAGTGTATAGATGATTTAAATTGGAAGAGATTGTATATATAGGACGGCCGATGATTGTTGATTATTTGTTAAAGGAATGTACCAAGGAAGTGTTGTCTTCTGAAGGAGGGAAAGAGCCACCATAACTTGGCGTAGTAGTGGGAAACACGAGAACCTCTCGGGGATCCATTGATAAATCTTACCAAGCCATTCATGATTTACGCAGCTGTAATGAAGGTGGGTGAGGGCGGATAATAGAAGTCTACGTGTGGACATGGGTAGGAGATGCCGGAAGCGACGGAAGAGTTTCAGGGAGGAAATTGAACGTCGAGATATGTGAGAAATATGGTTATTCCAGGAGAGGGTTTGATCTATGAAAATAATTAAGTTTTTAACTGAAGTGTTGAAGGTGATGGGTCGGTTATTTAGGTACAGGAGAGGAATGTTGGTATTGGATCTGAAAAGGGGTTTGGAACCAATGACGATGGCTGGGGTTTCAGCAGCGTTTAACCTTAATCCATTTTCATCACAGTGGATATGAGGTCTGTCGGCAAGATATATCAAAAGTAAAAGTCGTCGTCGTTGAAGGATGTAGCAGCAGAAGAGGAGGAAGCAGTAAATGGAGGAATGGAAGAGGAAGTTAATATAAAATACAAATTTAAATACTCAGGTGAGACTGGAAAGACTGCTGAGGAAGCTGATCTGGAAGATTCACAGAGGGAGAGTTTACGAAGGAGTAGCCATTTGGTTTTGGAATCAGGAGCTGAAGAAAGGGCTTTGTGGAAATAGGTGGATTTGGCTCGTCGGATTTTGGTTTGTGTCATGTTAAGGAGCACCTTAAACGTTTGGTATTCCTCAGCTAGTCTAGTACATCTAAAGCGCCTGCGGGCACCATCACGTCTCTTCTGAAGATCTTTAATTTGCTGACACATCCAGGAAGCTGGAGTCATTATGAGGACGCCAGTGTGTTATTTACGTGACCCTCCTGGGTGCCTTACACCCAGTGTGCTCTGTGAATTTCGTAACCCAGTGTTTTCTTTGCTATTTTGAAATTTCGAATAATTCAGGTGTGGATTTCTATTGTTATATTTCTTAATTAGTTGTATTTTCCATTCTGATAGTAATGTATGGCAACTATAAAAAACAATGTATTCTTCTCCTGAAGAAATCCAAAATTGTTATGGGAGTTGGAATATTAAGAAAAGATGCATGGAACATATTAAGTAAAGATGGCACAGTAACTTTTGCCCAAATATGTCATGTGTCTTAACAGCATGAAAAAAAGGAGACTATCTCTCCGATTTTTCTTTGGAATGTTAAACCATGCTGGTATAAACAGCATGATATTGTTCACCTTAGTTAACTTGGAAAAGAAAATGAGATGGAGGAGTTATTTATTTGGATTAGGCTATTCGTTACTTGAGCCCTGTTTGAAAAGAGGACTACAAGTGGAGACATTCACCCGAATGGTGTGATACAACATAAAAGAATTTTGGGAAATAAAATATTAACGACTACTGTTGGAAAAACAAGTCAAATATATATTTTGCATGAGAGAGAAAGATATGAAGATAAAAATGGTTTGTCAGCAATGTAAAAGATCTAACTGCAATGAACACAGGGCGACAGACTGCTTGGATTGTTGTGAGTGGTCACTTAAATGGCCCCACTAGGTTTTATTATCTTTTTTTGTAAAAAAAAAAAAATTGTTTACTTTATTATGTATATATTTTTCATTGCAAACAAATATATTTAATTGATATAAACTTGATGTATTTTCAATGGAAAAATATTGATCCTTTTTTGATTTTTTAGCGATGTAATTGTTAACATTTTACTTTACGTTAACATATAAAATATGATCTCTAAAGTTACCTTTGATTTATTTTTTTTTTTTTGTTTTTCTGATTGTTTACCTTATTTCTGAAAAGTATTTGAGTCTTCCAGAGCATGAAAATTAAATTTTATGATATTTTAAAGTTCGGGGTATACCATACCCCAGAGTGTCTGAACAGTTGACGTATTTAAGTGTGTTCTAGGGTTAATTTGAAATGTTAAATTTGAAAACAAAAATTTAACGATCAAACGTTGATTAATCTATAAGAGCAAGGTCGTTGGAAAGAAGGACACCGGACTAACTCAGGAATGAAACGCGCAGGTGTACAAAGCTAACG